CATATTGTATATTCACTGTATTAAAGTCACTTTTCATTAAAGCTTTATATGTTTTGTCTTGTTGCGGCGGATGGCAGAACCCACTTAGAGCAGGCAGGTTTTGGGGCCTCAGGCGTGCCTCTCTCTGAATTGAGGTGCCCTATAACAATTCTATATTAAAATTCACATTTTATGACATTGTGTTTGAACGATCTTGAATTTTTCTTCTTCAGTGTTCTTTGATGCTCAATTGCTTGAATACTGGGAAGTAAAAGATGAGGAAGTATGTTTGTTTGATTGCTCATTTTATTGTTTGTTTGTTTCCTTTTAATTTTCCCCTCTGTGCAGATTCTTTCAACTTCCTCTGAGTGGAATGAAAATTTGCAACATTCATTTTTGCTTGAAGAAGAATCTTCCTCTTCTGACCTGGATGTTTCTGAATGTTCAGAATTGGTTAAGTTAGATTCCCAACTACCCAGTTCTGCATGTGAAAATGTGGAAAAACCACTGGATTTACCTCAGATGGACTCATTTAAGGCACCAAGACCAAAACGATTGCTGAAAGTGTGTCTAATGCAAACTGATGCCCCTGCTTCATTCTCTTCCCTAGAAATCTCTGATGATTCTTCTGCTCCCCCACTTACTACCCCTTTATCTCCTCAGAGCTCTCTTTTTGGTTCTGTTGCTAGTTTTTTATCTAACCAAGACCCCAAGACTGGAAGTTTCATTGACATGCCCGACAAGCTTCATTATCTTTCATCTCCCCAGATCCCACCTTTACAATCTTTTGCTAGTTCTGCTTGTGTATCTGCCTCATCTAGCCCCAAACAATATGAGCTACCTGAAATTCATGAAGACATTTTAATCTCCGACCTTGTTAGACCTCCCCTTGCATTGAACTCTCCTCTGCAGCCCATTCTTCATAGCCTCCCTCCTCCCCCTCCTTTGCCAGGAGCTTCTTGTGTCCCTTCTTCCCCTCCTTTACCAGGAAGTAGTTTTCTCCCTCCTCCACCCCCTCCCCCTCCTTTGCCAGGAGGTCTTTGCCCTCCTCCCCCTCCTTTGCCAGGAGCTTCTTGTGTCCCTTCTTCCCCTCCTTTACCAGGAAGTAGTTTTCTCCCTCCTCCACCCCCTCCCCCTCCTTTGCCAGGAGGTCTTTGCCCTCCTCCCCCTCCTTTGCCAGGAGCTTCTTGTGTCCCTTCTTCCCCTCCTTTACCAGGAAGTAGTTTTCTCCCTCCTCCTCCTCCACCCCCTCCTTTGCTAGGACGTCTTTGCCCCCCTTCTCCTCCTCCCCATCCTTTACCAGGAGGTACTTGTCTCTTTCCTGATCTCCCTCCTTCACTAAGAAGTGCTGATTTATATGAATTGCCTAGGTCTAAACTTTATGAACTACCTGAAATTCAAGATAGTCCAATCCCTGAATTTGCTTGTGCTCCTCTCGCATTGAATGATTCCCTGCAGCAGAGTCTTTTCCCCATGCCTTCTGAGCCTCCTTCTCCTCCAGTTGAAGGTCTTATCCTTTCTCTTCCTGGTTCCCCTGATTATCTTTCTGGTTCTACCCCTTTTTATTTTCAAAACTCCCCAATTGACTTGAGTACTACTTACAGTCGGTCACCAGGTCCACTTTGTGATGTTGAATCAGAGGTTTCTCCCCTATCAAGTATTTCTGCCTCCACTTCATCAATAGGTTTTCTCCAAGATGATCTTCAGACTTTCACAAATCTTCAAGATTCATTAGAAATGAAATGTCAGCCTAAAGAAGTATTTCACCGAGCCCTTAGTTGCTTTCAAGCAATGGCAAAATCTGATACAAGAAACGACTTCACTGTAAGCTTTCAGGCACAAAAAGACAAAGATGACAAACTCCAAAGGTGGAGGAATTTGCTGCCTTGGACCAAACTCTTCAGTCTGCAAAATGAGGTATTAGTCTTATTTCTAGTATTAGTCTCACATCCTAGACTATAACATTCAAAGTAGTTGGTTATCAAATTGTTCATTACCATAGAGATGTAAGGGAGTTCTGCCAGAATATAAATCTATATACTGCTTCTTGAGAACATCTTGCTTAAAACAAGTCAATTGAGGGCCCACCCTGGTGGCACAATAGGTTAGGGCACAGTACTGTGAAGCTATCTGCAGCCATTGCAGCAGGAGTTCCATACCTGGCCTGGGAGGTGACCCACATGGTGTGGCAGACCTCTCTTGCCCCTTCCACTGTTCCCCTCAGCCATGTATTTCAGTAGATCCACCTGTTCTACTCCCTACTCTGTCTCTGGTAAATTCTCTCACCCCTCCCCTAGCACCTCTGGCCTGTACCCCAGTTCTTGCATGCATAAATACATAAATCTTTAAAAAAAAAAAAAGGTAATTGAACAGAATTGTATTGTCAATGATGACTGGGGTTTATCTAATTTTTTAAAATATTATGTTGTGAATGTTGTTATTCTTCAGTTGAGATTTAAAGTCCCTGAATGGATCATGCACTAAGATTTCAATTTTGTAGGTTCCCAAATGAATTGTAATTCATATAAATTTCCACCATGAAATAAAGAACAAGAACCCTGAGTGTACTCTAAATATTTTCATGTAAAAATTTTTAAAATCTCAACATGTAAAGTGTGCTAGAGCTTGTCATAACATTTTTGAAGCTAGTAAACACCCTAAAAAATGAGCTCCTGCACTAATACCCAATCTCACAGTTGCAGTTTTTGTTTTGATAGAAAATACTTTATTTACAGTGAAAAAGAAACTCCATTTAATAAAGGACTTAAGTTTGAGCACCAGCCCTATCCTTTGTGAGTTAGGATAAGTCAGATAACCTTTCTGGATCTCACTTTCCTCATGGCTAAAATGTGGCTAATAAGAGTATCTACCTCACAAAGTGGTTTTGAGGTTTAAACAAGATAATAACAGCACCGTAGGTTTCCTTACCTGAAAAAAAAAAGGTATGTAAGACAGTGTAGGAAACAGTATAGCAGATACTATCTGTGCCCCTCAAACCAGATTTTAGGGGCTTCAATTCTGCCTCTGCTGCTTGTTAGCTGTGTGTTTTTGGACAAATTGCTTAACCTTTCAGTGTTCCAGTGTTCTTACCTACAAAGTAGATAATAGTACCTCCACAAGAGATGGCAGAAAAAACTTTTAAAACAGCACCTACTTCTGGTTCAAGATTGGTTGGCACATATCACTGCTGTTATTTTTCAAATGATTACCATAGATCTTTAACCTGTGTACCTTTGTATGACCATAAAAATAACTTTCTGCTTCCTATCTGAGTTGCCCTGGGACCTGGAATCTGTCTACTTCAAGGACAATCCCCTGTTCAGGCTTACCACACTCTCAAGTTTGTAATAAAGATCAGCTGAAATAAGCAGGGACTATTCGCTTGGGTGGATGGAGATCATAAGGGCAGACTTAAATATTGAACAAAGGGGACCATGCAGTTCAAAAGTTTGAGAAACTGGGCCCTCCCTGGTGGCGTAGCCGGTTAAAGCACTGCACTAAGAAGCTTAAGGCCACTTCCACATGAGTTCGATCCCCGCCTGCCCCGGAGGTGACCACATGGCGAAGCAGATCTCTCCTGACCAGCCCACTGCTCCCCTCAGCAGTGTACTTTGTCCATCTGCCTGTTCTGCTCCCTACTCTGTCTATGGTGAAGCCTCTCACCGCCCCTGCACCTCTGGCCTGTACCCCAGTTCTGTATGAATAAATAAATAAATAAATCTTTAAAAAAAAAAAACAAAGTTTGAGAAACTTGTTCAAAGCATCGTTAGGAGGGGCCTCCCTCGTGGCCTAGGGGTTAAACCTCAGCACCATCACCTCCATGGCCTGAGTGCAATCCCTGTCCAGGGAACTAACAGGTTTATGTAGTGCAGCAGACCTCTCCTATCTCACCCACCACTCCCCTCAACAGTATATTTTAGTAAATATACCTGTTTGCTCCCCACTCTGTTTGGCAAATCCTCTCACCACCACCACTGCCCCTCCTTCCCACACCTCTGGCTTACCCCCAGTTCTCCTATGCCAAAAAAAAAAGTATACCATTTTTTTAAAAATATCACTCATAGTGATGTAATGAAATCTCAATAATAGGCTTTTATTTGTCTTCTTATTTTCATAGGATGGTTTCTGGAAACTTACATCAGAACTGGGATTTATATTAAAACTTAATACAAATATTTTAAATGACTTTCTGGAACAAAAGGGTATTCAATCTCTAGGTAAGTCACTATTTTTCTATTTATTAAATGATATGTTTTTAATTATTATAATTTTGTAAACCAGTATACTAATAATTATGTTAGTTGCATATGAATAAAATATTTGTTAGCCAAAGAAAAACAGTAATTACTTTCTAATCATGCCTCTCCTATTAATTAGGGTGCTTTCAGTAAAAATTTATTAATGTAAGTAGCAATAACTACTATGAAAAAACCAAAAATTTCAGTAGGTTAACACAATTGAAGCTTACTTGCTTATATAGAACACAGAGAAATATTGATCAGTAAAATTCTATTTTATTTAACCTTTAGAGACCTAGATTTCTTACATATGTGGCATTACCAACAACAATTTATGTCTTTAAAATTATCGTAAAGAAAAGTAAATAAATAAATAAAAGTGCCATAAGGAAAAGAAAGAAAGAAAAGATTACCCTGGTACTATCTATCTTGTGAATAGGAGGGAGGAAGAAATTTGGGAAGAAATAAAAATAGACTCGCATGCAGTCAAAGCTCACTGGGAAACGTACTTAGGTTTGTTGTGCCTCCAAAAAGAGTAATTTTTTTTTTAACTTTACAAAAGTTTATTTTTACATCATTTTGTACATTTTTTTTCCATCTTAATTGTAATCCCCACGGGTTTCCCATCACCAAGTCACCCATGTGCCATCACCATAATCCCGTGCATTTCCCTCCCCCACCCACCCACCCACCCCCTGTTTTTGATCCCATTCCCCACTCCACCCCC